TCATACATGTCGGGAATACGGTGGGGCGGGGAAGATAATGGTAATAAAAAAGCACAATGCACAGCACGGAAAAGAGGGTGTCTTGTTTCTCGATATGCCTGACTGGCAGTGCCTGGTCTATTCCCTAACCATGCGTACCATTTTCCTTGCAGAGGATTCCAGAAAGACTACAGAACAGATATAGTGTTTGGAACAGATGTTCCCTGTTGGTTTGTGCACAACAGTGGCAAAGGTTTCATCGATGGACATTACAAGGACTACTTTGTGCCTCATCTCTATAGCATTCTTAAATGGCCTTAAAGGTTTATAGTTTTGAAAATTCTATATATAAATATACATTTTTTCCCTGCCACTTTTGCAGTCATTCCTCAGTTGAATAGTTAAAAACCCCAGGTGCCATGGAGGTTTATAAAGCCTGTTCAACACATCAGAAGAAAATAAATATTTTGCAATGAAGCTTTATGATTCTGTTGCATTTTTCAGATGCTAAGATGTATTAATTGAGTGATGCAAAGAACTGCTTTGGCAAGTCAGGGTGGTATCTAGACAGAGCCCTAGATTTGGCATTTACTGTGATAATTTCACTATTGTTGAATGTCAGGTCCTTGACCTTGCAGATGGAGAATATTTTTTTACACTGTTAATCACATAGGACGTTCAATTACGAGGTTATTTGTGAACATGGAAAATGAATACGGGAAGTTGCTTAATCTTAGTTGCTTTGTGGAGATTTATACTAAAAACCTGTCACCCTCGGTAGGGACAATTTTATCAAGGGAGCTGAGATGACCTGATGTACTTTTTAGGATTCCCTTCATGGTGTTGGCCCTTAACATCCTTTCCAGTTCATGAGGACTGAATATCTCGGCATTCTAGAGAAAAATAAAACCCATAGAAATTTATTTTAAAAAACTGGCTTAACCATCTTCAGGACTTGTGAAACCTGTATTCAAAGCTTTTCCTAAACATCAATCACATAGTCACCATAAAAATAATTAATATATGTCTTACTGTCAGGATAATGCAAGCCTTATGTTCAAGAAAAAACAGAGTAATGGTTCAGATCATAACCTTGGTCACAAGTTTGTTTGTTTTTTTACACAATATCTTTATTTTATTTATTTATTTTTATGCAGTGCTGAGGATCAAACCTAGCACCTCGCATATGCTAGGCTAGCGCTCTACTGCTGAGCCACAGTCCAAGTCCCAAGTTTGTTTGTTTTTAAATTAGCTTTAAATTACTGTGCTTTTTAATCACTGAAAATTAAACAATTTTTTTTAGGGTTGGAAACAGTCCATTCAAAGAAATGAATAAGTTAACAGAATTCAAAAGCATCACAGTCAATATGTAGAAAAAATGAACTAAGAATCAGGAGTGATTTTTGTGTCTGCTGGTTTATGTGTGTCACTCTACATACTCTTAAGGATCTCTTAATACATGAAGTGGCATCTTTTAGCTAGCCTTATCCTAATGGAAGGAGATACAAGTAACTCCAAAGATCCAGTAAAAATTAAGGAAAAAATTCCCCGGTTGCCTAGAAACATGCAGATGCTTATGTGCTATTAAGAACTTCTCATTTTTTCATATTTTTATTTGTGCATTATAGTTGTAATAATGGTGGGATTTATTGTTATATATTTATACATGCATACAATATGACAGTACGATTTGGCCAATATCCATTCTCCATTCCCCAAGTATTTTTTTTTTCCTTAAAACTTCTTTTTTTGCTGGCCAAATTTATTTGGTAACTTTTTCTGAAATATCCACATGAGAAAGAAAAAGCAAAGACGCTTCTCTTTAATGGCATAGTGACTTAATTATACAGCTAATACTTCTGGGGTCACTTTGGTCAACCTAATAATTAATTTACAATCAAGGCTGACTCATACTCTAATCCTGTGCTTCCATTTTACTGGTATCAGTGAATAGTGTCTTGGCCTAGCAAAGTCATGGCAGATTTTTAACTAAGTACTTCACATTATGGAGTTGCTTACTATTGGCTTATTACTTCATTTGAGTACCAATGAACACTCCGAATTTCTATACAACATGCACCTTGGGTTGATACCTGCTTCTCATTCTTACATATCATTCTTACAGACTAGAGGTACTCAGTAAATGTTTACTTAATGAATACGACTCTGTTCTGTCAGCAAAAACTGATAGGTGGTTGGGGCTGGAAGAAGATGCCAGAAGATAAAGGAGAAATCAGCAAATAAGGTAATGGAATTTAATGGTATTCTAGTAAAGAAAATTCTGGCATTTCATCTCCAGGATAGTGATGCTAAAACTTTCATATAATCTCAGGAATACTGATAAGAAAAAAAAAAATAAGAAAACAAAGCCACTGTTTGGAGAAAATATTTACAAAAGACATATATGATAAAAGACCCGTATTAAAAAAATTCTTAAAACACAACAGGAGAATGAATGGTCCAGTTTACAAATGAGCAAAGGCCTGAAAAAAGATATTTCACCAAAGATAAACAGATGGCAAATAAGGAGATGAAAAGATGCTCAGCATCATGTCATTAGGGGATTGCAAGATACTACTACATATACATTAGAAGAGCCCAAACCCAGAACATGGATGGACATGGCCAAATGTTGGTAAAGATGTGAAGTGGTGGAAATGCAAAATAGTAAAACCACTTTGGAAGAGTTTGGTAGTCTCTTACAAACAAAACGTACTCTTATTTTAAACAAAGGGAACAAATTAATGGGAACAGTTGGAAAGAAACAACTACCACACTAGCTGCCTATTGATTAGCTTTCGAAAGTATTTGCTTCTCAGCAATACAGAAAAATGAGCTGTATCTGCACAAAAACCTGCACCCAGGATGTTTACAGCAGCTTTATTCATAATTGTCAAAACTTGGAAGCAACCAAGGTATCCTTCAGTAGCTGAATGGGTAAATTATGGAACATCCAGACAATCGAGATTATTATTCAGCCTTAAAAAGATATCAAGCCATAAAAAGACACGGGGGAATCTTACATGTATATTATGTGAAAGAAGCCAATCTGAAAAAGGCTACAGCCTATGATTCCAACTATATGGCATTATGGAAAAGGCAAAACTATGGAGACAGTGAAGAGCATGGATTTGAGGGATGGAGAGGGATGAATACGCAGAGCACAGAAGCTTCCTAGGACAGTGAAAGTACTATGTATGGCACCGTAACAGTGGACACATGTTATATATATAGAAATGCTTTAAAGTTTTTTTTTTAAGAAAAAGAATAGTTTATGATCCTTCATAAAGAAAAGCCAATATAAGACCTGATTTGGGGTGTCTGCTGTTCTATTGCTTAATGTAACCACTACTGGCCTAAGACCTTAGAGGATAAAAATATTTCTGTACTTTAGGATCACATTTTTGTGCTTCAGATATGTTTTAATGAATTTAACTTGAAGTACACTACTTTATTTCATTCCAAGACAAGTTCAGGAAGATGTTGAGAGGAAAGAAATGTCAGAGGTAAGAAAGAATCATTTCTCTCTGAAGAAAAATCACTGAGTTTATTCCAAAATTAAGGGTTTCAAGGAGGTAGATCTAATTTGGCACATTTTTCACTCACACTGTTATTAAGAACTTCTCCTTATTGAAATTCTTTGGATCAGATTGATGCTGGGGCTGGCTTCAAATGCTTGATTACATTTACTGACACTACTACTCACTGACATTTCCAAACAGCTACTATGTGCCAAGCTTTATGTCTGACACTTTATATGTATTTTCTTTCTCTTTTAAGATATCTGTTTTAGTTGTAGATGGGCACAACATCTTTTTTATTTATTCATTTGTATGTGGTGCTGAGATTTGAACCCAGTGCCCCACACATGCTAGCCAAAGGCTCTACCATTGAGCTACAACCCAGGCCCCTCTTTTTCTTTTTTTAATCTTAATTCTCTGCAGTTCTAACATCAACTCTGCATGGACACATTATTTTTGAAAACTTATACATTGAAATTATTATGATTCACAGACATTAACTTTCTAAGATTATATAGGCAGTGAATAGATTAGCTAACATTTTCAACCTTACTTCTGTCCAGCCCCAAGACCCAGTTGTTTTCCATGATACCACACTGTCAAGTTATTTTGGAAAGATTTTAACCCATCCCTGAATACTTTCTGTAAAGGTACTAATATCTTCCTGTTACTATTTCTTATCTTACCTCTTATGTTTCTACTTTTAGCATATATTCTCCCATCTTCTGATAACAGAAATTCTCAGCCCTTCTCTACTCTCATTCCAAGCAAGATGGCCGAGGGGCTGGCATACAACCCTGGTCTCGACAGTCAGCATATTCCATCCTTTTCTTTGGAATGACTTTACCAGGTATAGTCTTAATAAGACTACTGCAGGCCTTCCGTACGAATCAATATAGAAGATAAACTGGTGCTACTGAAAGTAAGATGTAAACTGGAGACATTGGGAGTCATCTTGTTCTTTTAAGAATGCCTGAGAATGAAGCCAACGAAGAGAACAAGCCCCAATAAGACCATTCATACTTGGATCTCACTGCACCTGCTTATGCTCAATGATGTGAACCATACATTTCCTGTTTTGATGGGGAGGTGAGCATAGGCAAGTATGAGGTGGGTTTCCAGTCTTCTGCATTCCCAAATAATAAACTGCTCTATTTATTTAAAAATTGGTAGGTCACCATTGGTGGTGTGATGCAGTTGCTTTGTAAAACTGTTCAGTTCCTCAAAATTATTAAACAGGATATAAACTCTAGGGACTATGCAAGTCTACTCCTAGGAATTGAAAACACACATCTACACAAATGTCACAGTAGCATTATCCATAATAACTGAAAAACAGAGACAGCCAAATGCCTATCAACTGATGAATGGATGAACAAATGTAATCTATCTACGCAGTGAATATTATTTGGCAATAAAAAGAAATGAAGTACTACAACATTTATAAATCTTGAAATTCTTTAGCAAAGTATTAAGAAGCCAATCTTAAAAGACCATATGTTAGGTTACTCCATTTATTTAAAATGTCTAGACAAGGCAAATCCATAAAGACAGAAAGTAGATTAATGGTTGCCAGAAACTGGGGAGTGACTGGGAGGAATAAAGATTGTGTACAGGCTTTCTTTCCAGGATGATAAAAATATCCTAAAAAAATTAGATATGGAAATGGTTGCACAACTCTGTAAATATAGGAAACCACTGAACTGTATATTTTAAATGTGTAAATTGTACACTGTATAAATTATATCACAATAAAGCTACTATTATGTTTGTAGCTTGGCTTTTTAAAATTTATACTTAGAGTTCAATTTTACTATTCTACTATGGAAAATATAAATTTAGAGTACATGAAAGATTTTCTCTGATTATATGATTCTAAATTGTCCAATATAAAACACTCTCCAATAACATTCTTTAATGAAAATAAAAAATCAAGGATATATTACAAATAAAAGAAAAAAACAAGGAAAAATTACATAGTCTTGATACTTCAGTACACATAATTAGATTTTTCTATAAGTTTCACTAAACAACTATACAGTAATATTTAAATAAATCCATTTGTTTTATATAAAAGAAATACCCTAACACAGTAGAGTCTCATAATGCCTTGGCAAACACCAATTTGATGCTTTAGAATTTTAATGTATTGTTAACAAATTTTCAAACTCAGGCAAGTTTAGAAATGTCTTCATATTGAATTCCTTCAACTCTGCGTCCTTTTAAAGGGCCCTACAAATTAAAATAATTTAGAAAAGATTAAAAACACATGTATTTAAAAGGCAAAAAAATGATACCACACTTATGGATAAAATTTACTTTTTCCATATCCCTAGAATATTATGAGGTAACTAATATTTCTGTACATCTGTGCATTTAAAAAATAATCTATGGCATTCTAATTAAAAGCTACCATATTTTCTTCAATATTTGAAATATGTAATCAGTAGACATAGTGACAGAGACTTCCCAGCTGTGCAGGGTCTTCTCAGTTTCCCTAATAAGCAGCTGTATTTCCTGATTCCCTTGGTGGGTTGATGTGGCCACAAATGGAGCTCCAGCCCATAGGCATGAGCAGAAGCTATGGTCCAACCACACAAGTTGCCTACCCGCAGTCTGTCATGCTCCTCTGTGTTCTGCCTGACATGGCACCTGCAGGTGCCACTTCTTAAAAATGGCAGAGCCACTAACTGGAATGACCCTGGCTCTCCAAGTTATAAATCAGAAAAGAACTCTTCTGTGATGAATAATACCCCTTTTAAACTTCATACATATCTATCTATCTAGTTTGTGCCATTATCCATTGAGGTTTCTTTTTCCTTTTCCAAATATTATTAAAAGCAATTTAACAACTCAAACTCATGTATCAAGTGAGTTGTGATAGTTAGGGCTGGTCTTATTACAGAATATGGGTCCATCTTTAAACATATTTTCTTCCTCTCTTCATATCAACAAAAAGGAAAAGGGGAAAACTTCAAAGGTAGATACAATCTGGGAATGCAGGAGCTAAGAATATGGGATCCTAGGGCTGGGGATGTAGCTCAAGTGGTAGCGCACTCGCCTAGTATGTATGAGGCACTGGGTTCCGATCCTCAGCACCACATAAAAATAAAAATAAAGATATTGTGTCCACCCGAAACTAAAAAATAAATATTAAAAGGAAAAAGAAAGAATATGGACTCCTATCCTAGACTGCCAAGTTCAGCTCCCACCTAGAGCAAGCAACTTAACCTCTGCACTTCAGTTTCCCACTCCTGTCTCTGTTCTGGTATCCCCAGTGGGTAAAAGAGCAGTGCCTCTACTATTGAGTTGTTGGAAAACATATATATTAAATGCTCCGAATAATACTTAGAACTTAATATGGATATAATCACAATACTTATCAATACTTACTATTAAATCTTCTGGTTTAAAATTGCAATGTTGACCCTCTCCTTTGCAAAGTATAACACTAACATGATGATGATAACAATCACAATCACAACTCTAACCACGGACTGAGACTTTTGGGGTGGGGGGGTGGGGAGGTACTGGGAATTGAACCCAGGGGTGCTTAACCACTGGGACATATCCCCAGCCCTTCTTAATATTTTATTTAGAGATAAGGTCATGCTAAGTTGCTTAGGGCCTCACTAAGTTGCTGGGGTTGGCTTTGAACTCACGATCCTCCTGTCCCAAGTCGTTGGTATTATAGGCGAGTGCCACCACACTCAGGGAGACTTTAATATTTTTCAACCAAGAACCATAACTTGTGTTAAAAATGCTTTTCAAAATGTCAGTTTTTAAAAATATAATAATGATTATACTTAAAGGAAATAAGTTTCCAGATGAAGCATGATCCAGATCGAATCTTTCATCACTGCATTTAAGGGTCTACAGTCAATTATACTTGTCTGATAAGAACTGCACATCTGGAGAGTAAGAAGGGAACCAGACATTTGGGTTTATTAGACAAATAGCTAAAAAAGATGAGGCTATATTTAGGAATACATTATCAGCTATTAAAAATCTGCTCTCTAAAATAATAAAAATAGCAGGAGAAACAACTTGAAAAGTGATTCAAGGAAAACATGGGGACATAAGAGACAAACATGCATATATAAGTGCAGACATTTTTGTTGTTGTTTAAATGTGGGCATGCTGAAAAAAAAAATGAGAAAGAAACAAAAACTAGAAGTGAGTTTCCTCTTTTGGAAGCATGTGTTGCTTTGTAACCAACCTAAAAGCCTATACTGTGGTTTTGCTCCTAGGCCCTATCTCAAAAACAACCCTGTGAACAACCAACCCACCAAAAAGAAGAGAGAACTGTGGGTTTATGGGGAGCGAGGGAAGAAATTAGCTTTTGATGAAAATCATACCAACTGTGAATCAAGATATCAGGCAGAACCTAATATATCCTCCATAGGTTGATCTGTGTTTCCTGAGGATGGAAACATGAAGCAGGCTCTACAGTGGACAGGACTATGAAATTAAAAAGTAAAGGACAATCAATCTGTCAAGGAAATGTGGGATTTCCCATCATTTCATACTGATTGAGTAAGAAAGAAAAACTTGAGTTTTAAAAAACCCAAATCTGTAAATTTAGTCAGACCTATATTCCTCAATGCCAGGTAAGAGTCCCTTTTTTACTTTTATTCCCTTATATTTATGTTAGTAAATGGTAGTTTCTACTTTAGTATTGTCATGACACTTTTTTTTTTTTTTTCTTAATTTACTAAAGTGTGAGTTCTCTTAAATAAGGATCTAAGTGGTTTTTCCAGAAAGTCTTTCTGAGACAAATATTCTCTCACAGGTCCATGGGTTTAGGGAGCCTATGATTTCCCAAAGAGAAAACATAAAATTTGGCAATTAGGTACAATTTTTTGAAAAAAGAACCCAAGCTTTCATCAGATTCTCCAAGGGATCTATCACCCCATCCCCAAACTAAAACCTACTGTACTGGAGATGAAATTTCTTTTGTTTAGATAAAGATATGGCAGTAGTTTAGAGTTCTAAGAAAAATGTTAATTTTAAGAAATCTCAGATCTCACCCAAAGACCTGTCAGTAGACTTATAGTTTAAAGTCAACAAATACTTTTATTTATATGTCAGAGTTCTTGAAATAACTGGGTTGATTTCTGCTACCTTAAGTTCCTTAATAAAGAAGGGGGACATTTTGAAAATTTATTGATACCTGTGGCTCCTTTTCCATCAACTATGATTACATTTTTCCAATTCATTTTACTATTATATTTCATTAGATGTGTGGGAAAAAAAGTCAGGATATAAAATTGTCCATCTTGTATATAATTTTATAAAATGCAAAGGCTAAAAAGGAACAGAATGAAATATTAATGGGGGTTTTATCTTTGGAATTATGGGCATATTTTTAGAATTACTTAAATTGTATTTTTCAGATTTTATATAATGAGTACACATTTCTTTTGTAACTAGAAAATAAAATGCTTCACGAAGGACAAAGTCACTAGAAAAAAATAAGCTTACAGATTTCTATATAGGAAGGAAGGCAAACAAAAAACCATATACTCTAAAATTAAAACAAAGTTCAATTCAATTAAAAAGAATTAAGATACATTTTTACAGCATTTTCAAATTTTTATCTATTTGCAAACAACTTACAGTTTCAATGACTATTGTAGCTGAGAACGTTTTCTCGTTGATGGATTCTAGGGTACCTTCATTTCCTTTGTACCCTCCATTTAAAACCAGAATTCTTTTCCCTATAATAGAAATGCATATAAAACTTAATGCAAAGAAACTGTCCACTTTTTTCCTACCTTGTTACAACAAAATGTTTTACAATGAATATAATAAAAAACAAAAAAACTTCTCTTGAAAGTTCTTAATCATGTTAAGAACTATGTGGTGTTCTAAAGTTTATAAATATTTTGATTACTCTAACGTTATAAAACCCCTCATTGTTTTCAATTTTTCTTAAAGGGATATGTTTTAATTTTAGATCGCAAGGTGTATAGGGTACAGAAAATGTTCAGAGTCCAGAAGTATAAGAAAATTTATTTACATTGTCTTTTTTTAAAATTCATAAGATGGTTTGGCAGTTTTATAAAAATTTAAACTTATGTCTACTATGTGACAACCATTTGAAGCATTTACCGAAAAGAAATCATACATCCACACAAGGATTTGTACATGAATGTTCACAGTTTTATCTGTATCTGTAAAAAATTTTAAACAACCCATATGTCCATCCACAGGTGTTTGGATAAATTCTGGTATATCTACATACTGATATATTCCTCAACAATACAAATAAACGGACTATAGATTCAACATGTATGAATCCAAAATAATTATGTTAACTGAAAGAAGTGAGACCCAACAACAATGTCAAAATAACCTAAATTGAACAACCACAAAACTAAGACAGCAGTATGATTTCATTTATATAAAATTCTGTAAAAATATGAACCAATCTTCAATGACAGAAAGCAGGTCTGCAGTTGCTTAGGAAGACAGAGGAAGCAAAAGTAGGGGATCAAGTGGGGAGGATTAGAAAGGAAAATGAAGGGAAGTGTTCATTGTCTTGATTTTAGTGATGGTTTCACAGCAGTACTCATGTTAAAACCACTTATATTTTTGATAAATGTGCAATTTATTGTTCATCAATTATACATTAATAAAGCCAATCTATAAGAAAAGTTTCATTTGAGGGAGAAAAATACAGAGTATGATACGTGGAAGTTCCTAAGACCAATATAATCAATGTACCCTCAGTGATATGTTCAAGAAGATTTTGAGTCAGAGACAATCTAACCCCACTGGTGTTTATAGTTAGATATGAATAAGCATCCAAAAGACAAAGATAGGTAAGGGGAAAAAAAAGCAATAAGTAAAACAGACTTTTACTTGACTATTTCAGAGAGCTAAACAAATATGTTAATAATAAAAGCCTAATATGATTAATTTTATTGATATATGTCATGTTTTGTTTCAGAAGGAAAAAAAAAAGTTTTCCAGAAAGGGAAAATTCATTCATGCCACAAAATATCTTTATCAAAGGACTAGTCAAGTATTGTGACACCTGAAGCCAAATGGGGATCAGTAATATTGGCAGTTAATATTTCTGAAAATGAAACACATCTGTAACCATCAAGTAATGCCAAAAAAAACAAGGTTTTTAAGAATGGAATCACTTATTTTGATGGAATATATAAGTGGTCTGAAAAAGGTTTACCTGGTGCTGGAATTACTGTCTCTAAATGAGTCTGGTCAAGTTTCAGCTTGTCTCCAGAATCAATCATCTTTACAACAGCTGTATATTTGTCAATTACTTCCTGTCATGTAAAATGAACACCTTTATCATAGAATATGTGAATACTAAGTGAAAAGAACTAATATAAATAAAATAAAAAGAAATGAAATTCCAATTGAATGATACAAGTAACTCCTATTATAAATAACATCATTTTCTAGATCCCACACACATAATTTTTCTGTTAATGGTTCTCAATATAGAACTCAATTCAAAGCTTAGCTAAGGTTTTCACCTGGAAAGAATACGAGACTACTAATCTTCGAATAAGACTGAGAAATCTAGCAGGAAGGGCCACTTGCCTAGCTTAGACTACAGAAAAAAAGCAATTTACACATGCACAAGGCTGGGTGTTAGAATGAAACTATATTTAGGAAAGGCAGAAAAGGACTGGAATTTCAAAACCCTAGAGCAGCTAGTCTCCTAGGCAATACACAAGGAAAGTCCTCGTGAGACCTCTGGGGCATAATTATACTGTCCATCATTAACAAAAAGAAAACGTTTCACTGATTAATGGGCAAGGCATGCACAACTGAGATTTTTAAGCAGTAGTGATGGGATTCCTTAAATACTATTTGCTCCAGTAAGAAAACAGACCAAGGTTAAATATAAACTATGGTTGGAAAAGAAGTATTTTGCCAACTATTATGAATTCAGATTTCATCTTATGGAATAATTGGAATCTTAGACACAATAATACTTCTGCTACAAAGATTTAATTTTCAAGAAATACCAAAATAGCTTCACTGGGTAACCAGTAACTTTTTTCACAATTTCCATGCATAACTTCATATTCTTACCTTAACGATACCCTTTTTCTTGTGATACTTCTCTCCAAGTTTTTTGGTTATAATTTTCACAATGATTTCCTGGAAAATAACAACAAAAAATGAAGATAAAGGAAAAGATAGAAATTATCTTTTCTAGGGGCTGGGACTGGGGCTGTGGCTCAGCGGTAGAGCGCTCACCTAGCACATGTAAGGCTCTGGGTTCAATCCTCAACACCACATAAAAATAAATAAATAAATAAATAGATAGATAGATAGATAAATAAATAAATAAATAGATAGATAAATAAATAGAGGTATTGTGTCCATCTACAACTAAAAAAATAAAATAAAAACAACAAAAACAAAAAGGAATTATATTTTCTATATTTTTTTACCATACAATTTTTAATTTTTTTATTAGTTGCCCAAGTCAATACAATGATCTTGACATATCATACATTTGATTCAAATAGCATATGAATTCTCATTTTTCCAGATTGCAAGATCACACTGGTTATACATCCATGTGTATACATACAGCAATCCTAATGTCAGTTGTATTCTGCTGCCTTCCCTATCCCCCCCTCCCATCACTATTCTCTACCCATTCTACTGTAACACTTATCTCTCTCTCTTTCTCTCTTTTTTTTTCTTCCCTTCCCCCTCACACCATCGTATATGTATTTTGTGAACCCATGAGGGTCTCCTTCCGTCTTCCATGCAATTCCCCTTCTCCCTCCCTCCTCTTTTCCTTGTTTCGTGGTAATCTTCTTTTCATGCTCTTCCTTCCTACTCTGTTTTGAGTCACCTCCCTTATATCAGAGAAGACATTTGACATTTGTTTTTTAGGGATTGGCTAACTTCGCTTAGCGTAATCTGCTCTAGTGCCATCCATTTCCCTGCAAATGCCAGGATTTTGTTATTTTTTAATGCTGAGTAATATTCCATTGTGTATAAATGCCACATTTTTTTAATCCATTCATCTGTTGAAGGGCATCTGGGTTGGTTCCACAGTCTAGCTATTGTGAATTGTGCTGCTATGAACATTGATGTAGCTGGGTTATTTAAAAAAATAACCTGGGTTATTTAAAAAAAAAAAAAAAGAAAGAAATTAGTGAGCTTTGCTAAAAAAGAAATTAGTGAGTTATAATGCTTCCCAGCATTGGCTGAATATTTCATTAGTAATCTTTTATTCCTTCTTCCTCTTTTTTGTCCAACTTGGTTACCAAGAGGAAAAAATTATATACAAAATCACTGATCTCCACAGTGAAGGTTTCTTGACATCTAGGACTTTCATTTGTAAATCTCAAATTCTATTAGTTCTGTCTTTCATAGATTGCTTTTCTTTCCAATCAAAACAGTGAAAGTGAGGATATTATATTGTTGGTATTCCCTGATGATAAAAACTCAGATTGCAAAAGTCTTACCAGGAATTGAAAGGAACTGAGCCATTGAGATTATGCATGAAACTTTCACAATGTTCTTTTCTCATTAGGTTGCTATGAGCATTTTGTCTTTCTCTGTCTGTCTGTCTCTCTCTTTTTTTTTTTTTTTCTCTTCTTTTTGTCAGTACTGGGATAGAACCTAAGGCCTTGCACCTGCTAGGCAAGTATTGAGCTACACCCTCAGCTCTTTTTATTTATTCTGAGTCAGGATCTTGCTAAATTGCCCAGGCTGGCCTTGAACTTGTGATTTTCCTGCCTCAGCTTCTCAAGTTGCTGGATTACAGGCAGGCACCACCACACTGGCCTGCTTTGAACTTTTTGATACAAACAGCATTATTCAGATCAGCTCTAGCTAAAAAGTATCATTGTTTTAAGTATCTCATCTCAAATGGGAAAGAAATCCAAGCTCATTTCATATTAATGAATTCTGAGTTTACTGCTTTATCATTCTTCTTTTGTGATTTGGATGAGCTGTTCAAAAGCTGATAATGAAAATTAAACTGTCTGCTTGCTATATTTGCTGCAGTGATGTTACATTTGCTACTTTAAGTTAATGTAACAAATAGATGGTCATAAACACTTCATAAAGCCATGCTAAGAATTATATTCACAAAATTTTGTTAGGACTTTAGGAGGAGAATATTTAATAGTAGAAAGACATGTTTAAGAGAAAACTTGAATTGTCTTATTCTTAAGCCTCTCTTCTACTAAGGCTTTCTACATGAAGCCAATTAATGCCAAAACATCTTTTCTGATTTAGCTATAATATTTCCAAGTTAAATTTCTTAAAGACCTTCATGGGTTCATATTCTAGTGATCTGAAGACAATTCATTATATTATTGTACTTTTTTTACCCTTAGCTTATATAGATCTGTTCAAAACATTTCTAAATCTAAAAAATATAGTCCTGATGGGTGTGGTGACACACACCTGTAATCCCAGTGACTTGGGAAGCGGACGCAGGAAGTTCAAAGCCAGCCTCAGCAACTTAGTGAGGTCCTAAACAATTTAATGAGATACTGTCTCAAAATGAAAAAAAAGCTGGGGAGGGTTGGAGATGGAGCTCAGTGGTAAAGTACCCCTACGTTCAATCCTCAGTACCCAAAACAACAAAAAACAAAAACAAAACATAGAACTTAAGTAATTTCCATACCAGTGAGAAAGATTGACTATGAAGACTTGAATTAGAATTCTGAACTCAACTTTCAAGAATACTTTCTCAAATCAGAAATTAATCTAAGTCATACCCTATTATTGGTTAAACCAGTTTCTAAAAGAATAATTATGGTACTCTGAAACTTTTAGGAAAATTCTACATCTCAGTAAGTCCAAAATAAAGCATCAATAAATAAGAAGAAACTTTTTAAATATTTAAATCACTTTAAATTATTATTTAAAAATAATAATAATAAATAATAAATATAAATATAATAAATAAATAAATATAATAAATAATAATAAATATAAACCTTCCTTGAGTTTATAAAATTAAAATTTGCTTTTTTTCTACAAAGTACCTAAATGGGTATTTTCATAAGATATAAATTGAAAACCAATACTTCCATATTTACAATTCTACTAAATTTAAACATGGAAGTTAGGAAGCTTCAGTTGATACTTACAGGCTGTAGCCAGTAATCTGTTCGGGCTGTTCTTTTCTTTTCCTCTTCAATCTACAGAACACACAAGACATCCATAAAATTATCTCTTTAAAATCATCAATTTATTTCAAAATACCATTCTAGTTAGCAAAATATCACCATAAAATCCACATTGCACCAAAGACCAATGATACAATATGCAAACTCTGATAAATACAAATAAACATTATTTCTAACTAGTTTTTAATTTTAAAAAACCTTGGATTTGTGATAAAGCAAGTGAAGTGACTCAGAAACTCAGTAACAACCCCTACTTAGTCAATACTACAAGGTCATCCTCCAGCAAGCACTACAGTACCCTCTCCAGGTGTAGTCCAATGACTGTCATGAACTGGAACAGGTGGTTTGGTCATGTGGCAAAAACAACGCGTAGACCAATCTTGTACAGTATGGTTAGGGAGGCAGTCTAACAGCAAAAAGGAGGCTTCTGGTGTGAGTGATAATAAAACTCATGAATGAAAGAAAAGTACCATCAAGAGAGATGTAAATAAAAGAAAAAGCAACCAAAATGAAAAAGGTGACATGTGATCTTTATGTCTATACAGTACATCTTTTTCTTTCTCAGTGGCTTAAAGTTAACCCTAAGGACCAACTTTCAAAGGGATCCAAAATTGTAATTCTTTGGTTGATTCTAAACCTCATTTTAAATCTTCAATTATCAAATATGAACAAAGAACACTCTAAATTTAGTATGTATCATATTTAAAACAAGTAGATCTGGCTTTCCATTTTCTTTTAAATTAAACTAAATTAAAAAATTCCTTGTCAATGGTATGTGTGACCTCTGCAGTGTCGCTCCTACTTCTCTAATCTAAAATGTACCACCATGCTCTTGCTATGCTCTAGCCACGTGAGCTGAGATCTCTGTTGCCTTAGGAAACTTTCACAAGTGTTCTCCCCACTCCTCACCCTCATTCCTCCTCGGCGCTCAGTCACTCAGTATTTATAGGTCTGTTTCTTTATTGAATGGCTCCTTTACTACAATGAAAGTCCCATGACAAATAAGGACATATTTCTGTCCCTATTATTCAGACCCAGAACTTTGTACAATGTCCAGCACATAAAGGCAACTCAATATTTACTAAATGGTAGAATAACATTTCATGGTATGTTCATATTATAATTTAAGCTTTTTAGATTGCCCTTTACTGTGTGAGAGCTAGTAGCAGAGAACTAAACAGTTATCTCCTCTTCATTTGCAAATGAAAGATGAGAAGACTACAGTAAATAATATTAAAGAGAAAAAAGTGAAGCTTCTTGTATCTATTATTCTTTTCTCCCATTCTTTCTCTTCTCCTTATCCATTTATTTTATAAATTCATTGATAAGATAAGGTCACGAGTGAAAAAGGAAGAAGGAATATTTAGGAATATATTAAGAACCTACTGCAAATTTCTCAAGATCGTGATTCATCATATAAATTTATGATTTAAATGATTCATCATATAAATTTAGCCCTCATGTTAAATCAAGCATGACAAACATATCACAGCTTTCTCCTATTAGCGAGAAGGCAAAACATGGAAGCCAGAGGCAACAGGAGAGTACAAGTTGGAGGAGGCAGAACATCCATAAAGGATCCCAGTTTTGATTACTACTAAAGCTCCTGTAACTGAACTCTACTGGGGTCACTGCATGGAGGATTTCAAAGACTGCATTTGAGGCAAGAAAATAAGCATGGTAGACGGGGTTCCACCTCTGTTCAGATGAATGGCAACTGGGATTCTTTGCCCTAACCTTGAATAGAAAGTTTTTCTAATTTTATATTATTCTAATAAATGGTGACATTATTTAACTTTCCTTAGGCTTGAATTACATCTTTCTTCTGATTGCTATAGCATCCAAAATAATTCATAAACTGTACCTCCATGATTTCATCAAGTGCAGATTTCTTCTTCTTCTTTTCTTTAGATTGAGCTGAGCTCTGGGAAGATTCTTTTCGTTTCACTGAAGCTGTACTCCCTAGTGTCTTGAGTGCACTTGGTCCTAAAGAACTGAAGAGAAGAACCATGCTTGTTCATAAAAACGATATACCAAAAAATGCTTTCTTTGTGCAAGATCAACAATACAGAATAAATGTTACACGGTTAATTTAGAGATCAGTCAAAACAATGAAGAGCCTGTGTGCATCTTGTGCAGGACTGTAGGCATCATAACATTTACGCTGTCCTGTCTTAGTTCCCCCTGCTATCTTGTTGCCCTTTCAGTTAGAGCTACTACAATCCGTAGAGCAAACTAGAGCCAGTACAGGCCCCAGTGGTGGGCAGATCAGGGTTTGAGGGTACTTCTCTTAGGAAGTTTAAAATTCAATAATTTAAGGTTCAGATCCACATCTACACATGGGGATAATAATAGGACCCAACTCCTAGCTCTACTGTAAAGATTAAATGAGATGTTTTTACACAATCAGCATAAGTCTAGCACATTACTGTTGAAAGCAAGGTTTTTTTAAGGCCAAGATTTCAACATACCACTTAAACAGTTTTTACTACTCCTGATTGCCTAAGTGTTTAAGTCTACATTTTAAATTCTTGACTGCCAATATTCACTTATCAAAAGAATACCACTTCAGTAACTATCCTTTGACTTTTTATGTGCACGTCAGTCATTCTGATCAATTTGCTAGCAACTTGGGCCATGCTCTGTGCTTCATGTCACTGAAAATTTGCACATGCCTCATTTTATACCTACAATAATCTCTAAAATTCTTCATGGGAGTTCTTGGATCTTCCAGCTTTCTCACCTGCCCTAGCACTTAATGGAGCAAATCACACTCTACCCTGCATTATATATAATCAGTTGTATTCTATGATGCCTCTCTTATACTACATTTTTCCTGCTGTAAAGTAGCAGAACTACCTTGTAACTTCCATAAAAGATACTTAAATAATATTTGCTAACTAAATGAATCTTACCAATCTCATCATTTAATGTGTCATAAATACACAAAGCTACCATGGAAACAAAAAAGGGAAAAAGTGCGGTTGACAGAGAATACAAGAGAATTATTACTTTCCTTTATTTGGGCTTTTTAAAAAATGCTTTTAAAAACCACATTAAAATTATTAGAAAGCCAGAACACTTTAAGGACTCATATTCAGCTTGAAGTCAACTAAAATGCCTACATCTTTTCAAGAAAATTACAGTGTAAGAGTCCTTCACTGTAGTTATAGAAACAGTTTTCTCCTTATTTAACTGTAAGGCTTACATTTGCCTGTGTAAAATTTCACTTACTGGGTTTGTCTTGTAATTCAATCCAGTGAACATATTTTAAAATTCTGATATCCAGGTCTGTGACAGCTGTACATAATGTGCATTAGTTCTGAAAAGATCATGTCCATATAAAGAGAAATTACTTAACCTGTAACTTCAAACATTCTTTAGATTTAAATGTACCTTGAGTATGAATCCAACCAGAATGAATTTAGGCTTCATTCTGATTATAATCAACTACAATCTGAATATAATCAACTACAAAATCTATAAAATAGAAACTAAGAAACCTAGCAAAGAGAAAATTGGGAATAAATAGCTATTTTTGGCTCTGGTAGTAACAACTTTCTCCTTCAACATTCACCAACCACCTATTTCCTATTGTAATCAGTCAGAAAAGCTTGTTAGTCTATTGTTTTCTAAAGAGTTTTCTCTGGTTTTTGAAAATACATTTGCTCAATTTTTCTGCCTTCTTACCCCCCTCCCCTTCTACAATTCCTCAATAGTGAATTCTCCAGATGCATCCAGAAATTACTTCAGTATTTTGATCTCAGCTAGGAAACTTTATTTTATTTAAGGTTGTCAGGTATATTTTAAAAAACTTTTATTTTTAATAAAAAAATAGGAAAAAAACTTGAATAGACTTTTTCCCAAATATACACAAGTGGCAAATAAGCACATGAAAAGATGCTCAGTGTCACTAATCATTCAGGAAATACAAATCAAAACTACCACAAAATACCACTTCACACTCATGAGGATGGCCAAAACAAAAACAGAAAATAACAAGTGTTAGCAAGGATGTGGAGAAACTGCTGGTAGAAATTTAAAATATTGTGGCTGTTGTAGGAAAACAATAGGGCAATGCCTCAAAAACAAAACAAAACAAAACAAAAAAACCTAAAACTAAATGACCATATGATCCAGCAATTTCACTTAAGGTGCCTATATGTTAAACAACTGAAAGCAGGAGCTCAAAACAGGTCTGTATACACCAGTGTTCATAGTAGTATTATGTATAATAGCCATAAGTTGGAAATAATTCAAATGTTCATCATGGGATAAACAGATAAGCAAAATGTAGAATATCCTTATAACAAGATATAAGCCTTAAAAAGGAATGAAATTCTGACCTTGGCTACAATATGGACAAACTCTGAAGACACAATGCTAAGTGAAATAATCATATGCAAAAGAAAAAATATTGCATAATTCTACTTATATGAGTTACCTAGAGCAGTCAAATTCATACAGAAGAAAAATGGAATGGTGGTACCAGAGGCTACAGAAAGGTAGATTTGGGAATTGTTTAATGGGCTTCATTTGGGATGATGCAAATGTTTTGGAGATAAATGGTGGTGATTGTTGTATAAAAGTGTGGATTTGTTTAATATAATTGAACTGCATACTTAAAAATGGTTAAAATGAGCTGGGTGTGGTGACGCATACCTATAATCCCAGTAACGAGGGAGGTTGAGGAAACAGGATCACAGGTTAGAGGCCAGCCTCAGCAACTAAAGGAGGCAGGACCTAAGCAACTTAGTGAGAACCTGTATCAAGGTAAAGAGGCCTGGGGACATAACTCCATGGAAAGGCACACTTGGGTTCAATCCTCTCTCTCTCTCTCTCTCTCTCACACACACACACACACACACACACACACACAAACACAGTAAAGGTTAAAATGATTAATTCTGTGTTATGTGTGTATTTTTTTTTTTTCTTTCTAGAGAAACAGGCATGCACCACCATGCCTGGCTCATTCTAGGTCTTACATATAACAGTTTTAAACCAGCAGAAAAACAAATTCCTGCCCATATAAACACAAAGCACAATTTCAGAGAAAAAAAGTTTAGGTGAGTTCTTTTAATTGTATTTTCTGCAACTCTATATACATATTCATATAGATAATTCAAACAATTTACAGAACTTAATTAAATAAAACATTTTTCCTAATATTAAGGCTTGACATTAAGGTGCTGATAGACATCCAAAGATATCAGGTCCCTATCTCTGGAATCTATAAATGTTATCTTATTTAGAAAAAAGGATATTTGCAAATCAGATGAAGTAAAACATCTTGTGATGTAGAGATTATTCCACCAGAGTGGGCCTAAAGTATAATCACCCCTGTTATTTTAAGAGACAGACACAGGGAGGCATAATCTGTAAAGGAAAAAGTGATTTTAAGAACAAGAAAAGAGAAGTGTGAAGATATTTGGTCTTGAAGACTAGAAGGGTGCAACCACAAACCAAGGAAGGCTGGCAGCCACCACAAACTAGAAGAGGCAAGGACTACGTTTTTCTCTAGAGCCTCTGGAGGGAGCAGAGTCCTCTAAACACTGATTTCAGCACAGTGATGCTGATGCCAGAATTCTGACCTCCAAAGATGGTCACATTTCTGATGTTTCAAGTCTCCCTGTTTGTTCCAACAGCCACAGGGAAACTAACAAGAGTGATGGGTTTCATTGCCAGTTGAACAACCATAACATTCATCAACACCTCAGAATAACAAATAATAAAAGGAAATGGGAAGTGGAAAGTCATCAAAATCAAAATGGAGGCAACGTGTCAACCCTCACCAATCAATCAATCAATCAATCTTGGAGGTTATAAAGGGTTCCTGACAATAATTATCACAAAAAAACTCTTCTAGAATCATGATCTTGCACAAAGGATGTTGCAACCTTAAACAAAAAAATACTCCTACAAGGAACTCTGCCCAGTGATTAGAAAACCTTGGATTGGTGCCACCTTTGCTATTAATCCATACAATCACAGATTTCAATATATTTTATAATCACAATTTTCAATATATTTTACACAATCTGCCTCATTGTTGCCTTTAACAACTTCCCCCTGCTTCAAGCTCCTTGAATACTCTTACAGTTTACTATGGCACATGTATGCCCATTACCCTACCACTATTCTATTCCCAAATATCATTATTCTTTAGGAACTTATACTGCACTGGGCAATAAGGACACAGACTGAGAACTTAGTCTCTATTTTCAGAAAAATCACAATATAGCAGGTAAAACAGAAAATGCACATCTCAGTCTACATTTAAACTGTGGGAAATGGGTAGGAAAATATACAGTATAACAGTAAAGCAGAAGGAGCCATAGAATGGAGAAGGATTCACAGAGAACCACAAATCTATCTATCGAAGCATTTTGTCCAAATGAGCATTTCCTAGTCCAGCACAGTGGCACAGGCATTTAGTTCCAGACACTCAGGAGGCTGAGGCAGCAAGACCACTTGAACTGAAAACCAGAGTGAATAACACAGCAAGACCCCATCACATTCAAAAATAAAATGAAATGAGCCTTTCCTCAAACAAAAGAATCATCTCATCACAGGGAAATGAGAAAAGAACAACTGCTGAAAAACAATAAAAACAAACCAAAATGAAAACTGCAATGAGAAAAAAATGATTCACAATACTTGAAAATGTAGTAACCGACATGACATTTCATGAAAATTCTAAAGTGTATCAGATCTGTAACTGTAGCTCACCCTGATTTGGAAGACGTTGCTCCTGCTGAGCTACATGCTCCTTTATTCAGGTTAAATGTGACTAGAAGAAAAAAAAAAAGTTATTTCATATACATATGTATGTAGAGTTCAGAAAATTATAATACAAGTTCTCAGACAAGATTCCACAGGCATTCACATAAAAAATCATGAACATGCTAATAAATGAGGCTAAAATGCTCCTCTCCAGAAAATGTCCTAAATGATGCTTGTAGAGATGGAAAGGACCTTACATGCCATGTTGCTGTGGCAATTGACGCTGGCTGCTGTGACATTCCATCCCCCAACACTTGCTCATAGCACTCCAACTTTTGAGTGTCATATTTCTTGGCCATGGTTCTAGGGATAGAATGCTATCTGCAGCTCTGGGGTAAATTCTGGTGGTCTAAACCAGTCAGTACAATTCCCTCTCGACTACTTTTAATTCTGGCCAGCAATATTCAAAAGGAAGTTCACTGGTGGGCTTCTAGGAAGTTTCCTTACTCCTAAGGGAACTCCAGAAGAGATGTTCTCTATCATCCTTTGGAAAATGCTGGGTCTGGATGTGATGACTAGAATGCTGGCAGCTACTTTGTGTGTTCTTATGGCATGCAGAATCATCACCGCTGAGATTCTTATCATGGAAAGATATCTCCTTATTGTTTAAGCTTATTTTATTCAATTTTGTTACTGTTGACTGAAGGCATCCTATCCAATTCATAGCATATAACCTTTTCATTTTATAGACAAGAACAATGCAAATCCTGACAAATCAAATGTCTTGTTCACTGACATGTTACTTTTTTAAAAATGTTTTTTTAGCTGTAGATGGACAAAATATCTTTATTTTTATTTGTTTATTTTTATGTGGTACTGGGGATTCAACCCAGGGCCTCATGTGTGTGAGGTGCTCTACCACTGAGCTATAACCCCAGCCCAAGACATGTTACTTTTAGCAAAGTTAGTACAAAAGAATTCATGCTTAACAAAGAGGAAAGAAAAGTTAAAATTACCTTTCTCTTCATCATTTTCTCTGCTTAATTCTGTAAAAACAGGGACCTCCTTGAGAGAGAAAAAGAGAGAGAGAGAGAGAGAGAAATAATTTAGAGTGCATTTACTATAAATATTCAATAGCTTACACTATGACTTGCTACCAATGGTACAAGACAGCTCAAAGACAAAACTCTAAGATTATAATTCTAAAAAAGTATTTTTCTATACCAAATTACAGAGGTTTACCTACATTTTTATTTCTATAATAATCTATACAGAATACAACAGAAATGTGAGGCAATAAACTTTAGGAACATTAGCTAGAGGATTACTTACTTTGAAAATCAAAACCTTTCTATATTGTGGGGTAGCTTAATATAATGATTAAGAGCCTTACATTAAACAAACAAAACTGCATATCAAATCCACCTCTGTAACCTTTCAGCTTTGTAATCTCTTGTCAGTCTCATCACATTTCCTAAGCCTCAGCTCTTCTATCTTTAAGACAGAGAATGCATGTTATTAGAAGTTATTAGAAGTGTTAAATAGGATAATATGGAGAAAAAAACAGCACAGTGCTTGCCACTGTTAAGTGCCATAAATATTAATTATCGATTTTACTAATAAAAAGAAGACGTTTTTGAGATCTAGCTAAAATATTCTTTAATCAGATAGTGCTCACATAAGCTTTCACATAGTGAGGCAAAAGAACATTTTTAAAATCTTCCCTATAAAATGAGGATGGGCTTCCTTATATAATGAGGATGGGCTGATCAGTAGAATTTCTCCTGCCTTTTAAGATAAAATACTATTTGTATCTGAAAAGAACAAATAACTTGAAGGTTTTAGCAGTATTAAACCAAAATGCTAACAAACAATAATATTATTCTAAAAACTACACTATTTTTCTCACTTTCCTCTGGATCAGAAGATGTGATTCTTATTAATTTTCACAATATGAAATTTTATTTTTTCTACTGCAAACTGAGGTTTAAATTTTAATAAAAGAAATTTAAAAATAAAGAAGCTGAGCACAGTGGCACATGCATGTAATCCCAGAGGCTTGTAAGGCTAAGGCAGGAGTACTGCAAGTTCAAAGCCAGCTTCAGCAATTTAGGAAGGCCCTAAGCAACTTAATGAGACCCTGTCACAAAATAAAAAAGGGCTTGGGATATAGCTCGGTGGTTAAGTGTCCCTGGATTAAATTCCCAGTACAAAAAAAAAAAAAAAAAAATGCTGATCCATAATACTGGTCCTTATCGATGTCTTAAGTTCTATGGCCTGCAAGTTCCTGCATTACTTTTCAGGTAATGCTCACACTTAACCACTGAGCTACTCTTCAAAATAGCCTGAAACTTAAAATATGTCAAATGTTCCTCAGCAGAATAATAGTGTTATGATCATAAAATGGGCTAATATATCTTATTAAATAATAATAATAATTTAAGGACATATGTTTAACCCTATTATACAATATACCCACATATTAAAACATCACATGGCACCCATTAATATGTAAAATTTTGTGCTCTTATGTATAATTTTAAAAATTCATTAAAAGAATGAAACACTAATAGAAAGAACATGAAGGAAATGTATAACAGAATGTTTGAATTTAAAAAGTCACACAGGAGGCAGCCACAAATATTGTTGAAGTAAGTACCTTGATCTAGTGATCCTAACACCTGGACCCCTTCCCTTAACCTTCCTTGCCCATTCACTGGCTTTCCCCACTGATTCTTTGAAACCCCTCAGCTCAGGGTTCGTATCCACCTTCAAATTTTCTTTGCCCTTTCGGGAATGGAATCAAAGTCCATTCTCATGCTGTGTTTATCTCCAGCAGTGCATTAATCACACAGTTACAATTAGCTGAAATGATCTATTTACATGTCTTCCCATTAGGTACTATTTCAATTTTAGACATAAGGAGACTGAAGTTTACAGATTCTATGATTATTCAAGATCATGAAGTTAGGAAGGAATAAACTGAGATTTCTCTCAACTCCAAAGCCTGTGCTCTTTCTTTCTCCCCTAAGAAACACCATCTAAAAATCTCAATTTGCTGTTTGAGAAAAAAAGCCATTTTATGTTTTTAGATTTTTTACATCGCCTCTCTGGATGATACTGTTGCTCACCTGTTCTTTTCCTTCTAGACCTCTTCTCACTTGTTCTTCAATAAATTTGGCAGTTTTTTCCTCATCATCGAGGTCTTGCTTCTTCTTTTTCTCTAGTTCCAGTTGGCGGCGGATAGTTTCGGGGTCTCTATCTATATACTGAATATACCAGCCTTTTGGTGTCTCATCCACTTTGCACAAGCCTTAAAAAAAACAAACAACACCATAAATTTGCATGTAATCAAGCAAAATGTAAATATAAATGTGTTTCATCTCTGCATATTTACTCAATCATTCAAATACAATCATACACATTAAAATACAGAAATTCGTGAAGCATATGAATTTTTCATATTTCCACTTAATGAAATTCAGATATAAGTGGAATCTGTAATCTCTTTAAACAGAAAAAAACTATTCTGATTTTTATATAGTTACAATGAAGCAAAATATGTAAACAAGGGAAACATATAAATAAAGTGTTATTTTGCATAAAAATTATTCAGCGATATCTAAGTATCTAATATCCAAGAATATATGATTCTCTGTTAAAATAAAGTAACACACTGAATAAGCAATTTAATGCTATTAAATCTTTTTCTCTTTCCTTCCTAAAAAAAAAAAAAGCAAATTAGTCAGGTGCAGTAATGCACACCTGTAATCCCAGCAGCTCTCGAGGCTGAGGCAGAAGGATCACAAATTCAAGACCAACCTCAGCAACTTAGTGAGAACCTAAGCAACTTAGCTAAACCCTCTCTCAAAATTAAAAAATAAAAAGGGGGGGGGAGGGTTGGAGATGGAGCTCAGTGTTTAAGCACCCCTGGGTTCAGGCCCCACTACCCCCACTCACCAAAAAAAGAAAAGCAAATTAAAAAAATCACCTTCAGTGACAAATCTTAGCACTGTCAAATGGACTATTCTAGATGTTAGTATTCAATATAATAAACAAAACTTATCCTAGAATAGTATACTCCTCTCCTCCAGTTTTCAAATTGCCTCATACATCCTTTTTTCCATGAATTTGGAGAGAAAATGACAATTCTTTCTCTCTGGTCAGTGATGTCATAATAACAATGTAAATAACCTCTTCTTCTCACCTTCTCTGCCCAGCCACTTGGTAAAATCAGTCAGTGTTTCCCACTGAGTGGCGTTCATATGGATGTGCTCTCGGTGGCTGATGTATTCATTGTAGACAATGTTGTTGTGGACTCTCTTAGTGCCTGAGAACAAAAGATAACACTGTTGATCCTGAGAAGTTTATAAGATTATAAAGCTATTATTTACGTAACACTTAAGATGTTTACCAAAGCGTCTTCTGAGAAGTTCTAGAAAGTCATTTCGGAATTCCCTGGTTAAGAAAGAAAGGAAAATATTAAGGTACTTTCTATAAATATACAGTATTATCTTCCTGACATTTAAGCAATCATACACTTTTAATGTTCATATGAAACATCTATGTGATTATCTGTTAGAATCTTTCACAAGGAAGGAACTCCAAAAGATAGAGCTTTCAAGGATCAAAGTTAAAAGTCAGTTTGGAGTTGAAATGTTGTTTTGGTAAAGCGACCATAGGAAAAGTTACCACATATCTTTGGAGAGGGTCCTTTACAAAGTCTTCTAGTGCTACTAAATGTGGTATTATATCCTCATTTTACTTATGATAACAAAAATGCCTTTATTCCAGATGAAATTGGCACTTAGCAGGTTCCATTTAAGCAGGTACACTGTATTAAGTGCTAGAAAAACACAAGTGAACAAAATACAAATTTTGATCTTTTTTTAAAAAATTTTTATTGTTGGTTGTTCAAAACATTACATAGTTCTTGATATATCATATTTCACACTTTGATTCAAGTGGGTTATGAACTCCCATTTTTACCCCGTATACAGATTGCAGAATCACATCAGTTACACATCCATTGATTTACATATTGCCATACTAGTGTCTGTTGTATTCTGCTGCCTTTTATTTTGATCTTTAAGGAGTTTACAATTTAGTATAACAATCATAACCAAAATTAAACTAAAAAAATAAATGTAATGAAATATTTTTAATAAGGGCAGGGTGCCACGCCCGCATATAATCCCAAAGGCTTGGGAGGCTGAGGCAGAGGATGAAGAGTTCAAAGCCAGCCTCAGCAATGGCCAGGTGCTAAGCAACTCAGTGAGACTCTGCCTCTATATAAAATGAAAATAGGGCTGGGGATGTGGCTCCATGGTTGAGTGCCCTCAGTTAAATTTTATTAAAAAAAAAAAAAAATTAAAAGAACTGAAGGAGATGCCCAGAGGTGATTTTAATATGGACAGTGAAATATAAATGTATAAATGGACTTTCATAGGTAAAAAGGAGGTCATTTCCAACTAGCAGAGCGCTATAAAAACATCACATGCTTGAGAGATGACACTTAAGCTACTTTGGGTAAAGTTTAAGATACAGAAAAATGAGGATGAGACTGGAAGTAGAATAGAATAAGGGGAGGGGAATAATAATAATAAGGTTAAAATTAACTTTAAGAAAATTAGTAGAGTTTGGACTCATTTTTTTAAGTACCTTGAATATCATGCTAAATAGATAAAGTTTTATGCAGGCATTAGAAAAGTACTAAATAATTTAGTTTGGAAAGTAAGTTGTTAAGATCTACAAAGATAATTGTGGTGAATAGTAGAGAACAAAAATTCTCAAATGGGGCTCCCCAAACCAGCAGCATTACCATCACCATCACCTGAGAACTAGATAAAAATGCAAAATCTCTAGCCCATTCCAGATCTATTTAATCAGAAGTTGGGTGTGCCATTCTGTTAAGCCCACCAGCTGACTCTGATACACACAGTGGTCTGAGAACTGGTATAAAACATGTACAGGAGAGGCCAAAGGTGAAGGTTGGATAGCTGGGTGAGGTAGTACATGTCTATAATTCCAGCTACTTGGGAGGCTGAAGCAAGAGTATTGTAAGTTTGAGCTCAGCCTGGGCAATTTAGTGAGACCTTGTCTCAAAATAAAATTTGAAAAGATCTGTGAGTATAGCTCAGTGGCATTCAATCCCTAGTACCAACCTCCCCTACACACATACACACACAAGAGCTAAAGGTTGGGAGATTAGTGAGCAAGTCACCGAAAATATTCAGGTGAGAGATGTTGAGAAATACTACTAAAATTCAAGGATATTATGTAGAAGAATTGACAAGTAGGGATTCCAACAGGACTTGAGGTTTACAGTTTGGAACTCTAAGCAAATAGCAACTGGTCAAAACAGATCAGGAAACAGGTTTGATAAACAGGATAGTGAGTTCAACTTTAAAAATGCTGCCTCTGGGGCTGGGGATTAGCTCCCTTGGTAGAGTGCTTGCCTTGCATGTACAAGGCCTTAGGTTCAATCCCCAGGACCAAAAAAAAAAAAAAAAAAAAAAAACAACAACAACAAAAACCTGACTCTGACTGAGACAGCCTTCAGAAATAAAAATTAGAGTTATCAAGGGGGAAAAAATCTGTAAATTGAGACAGATGTTAGGAATGAACTTCAAGATTTGGGAAACATCTAAATATAAAAGTAACAGTTAAAAAGAATAAGGTGACTCATGGAGACTCTTGACTCAATTGAGTGTGAAAGTCAAAGGGCACCTGGGAGAACTTTCCTGCATTTGCAGAGCGGGGAGGAAAAGAGTAGATACTGAAGAAAAAAAGCACTAAAGGAGCAGAAGTAGGAAAACCATGAAAAAACACAGAACAAAGGTTTTAATGAAGAATTGTAAGTACTGAAGAAAGATCGAGAAAGATGACGATGAAAAAAGGCACAAGCAACTCTTCAGGAGACTCAAGAGGCACAAGTGAGCCACAGCAGCAGCAGAACAGCGAGTGCAGACAGCTCTTGCCAGGAGGGTGTTTCCTAAAGTGTGGCATGTGTCCTGGCCATATTCAAGATGGTTTTAGGTAATTCACAGAACAGCAATTTTGCCTTTGTGACTATGTTATAAAAGCAATGGAGGAAAAACCTGCCAGCAGCTTAGCACTCAAGCCAGGCAGCGGGCAGTGATGTCAAACCACACTAGCAGTCAGTGTATTCTTCACATCATGAGCTCACAGTTAAAACCAGGGAGAGTTTCATCTACAATGTCTTGCAGAAAACAGTTAAATTTATTGGATGTATTAAATCTCAATTCTCAGACATGGTTTTAGAGCTATGAGGTGAACTACTTTTTCACAGGACACTATTTTTTTCTTGAAAGAACCACTGACACGTAAAGTATCACTATTCCAAATTGGAACTTTGGAATACATTTTCTCAAATATAAACAAAATGAACCTGTCATGTGGAGGAAAACAACTAACAGTATTTGTGGCCAATGATGAAATTTGACCTTTTAAGCAACAAGTAGAATTTTGATGAATTAGTACCTGCTGCTGTGGGCTTGACATGCTTCCTGACACTTAGGGATGTTCTGGTGCCATCAATGTTGATATTAACCCAAGAAATCCCAAGTTTCCAATTCTGCAAATATTTCAACACAATTGACACAGATGTATTAAAATAAGTTGGAAATCAGAATCAAGAACATATGTGTGTGTGTGTATATATATATATATATATATATATATATATATATATATATATACATGTGTATATGTTTTTTCTCAAATGTTCTAATCATTCATCTATGAACAAAACATAATAAATTATTTGAAAAATAAAAACAATAATTATTTGAAAGTTATCACAAGTGGTATATTTATTGAGTTTAAAGTTATTACAAGTAGTATATTTGTTGATCAATTCAAGTTTTGATAGGTATTCAGCATCTGGGACAATGGGACAAATGGGTTAATATGATTTGATGACATTACAGGATATAATATGCCATGATTTGGAAGATCTGTGTCATGTAATAAACTGGTACTTTTCAAATGTCTAACACGTTACAAAATCATGCACAGGTATAAGATCCACACAAAAGATAAATCAATTAATTTTTAATTTAACAGTACAAAAACTTCACTAATCTAATTTCAGAGTCTACATTATGACTAAGCTTTAAGAAACTGCCACAGGGAGGGGCTGGGGATGTGGCTCAAGCGGTAGAGCACTCGCCTGGCATGCGTGCGGCCCGGGTTCGATCCTCAGCACCACATACAAATAAAGATGTTGTGTCCGCCGAAAACTAAAAAATAAAAATTTCTCTCTTTCTCTCTCTTTAAAAAAAAAAAAAAAGAAAGAAACTGCCACATATTTTAATTGATGCAGTATCTAAGAAGAATATCTAAAATTATCTAAAAAGATTACTAAAATATTTCTCCCTTTCTAATTATACATCTATGTAAATACTGGATATTCATGTGCTTCAAACAAAACATTTCATGACAGACTAAATGCACAAGGAGATGTGAGAATCCAACTGCCTTCTATTAAGTCAACACTGTTTGCAAAAACAAAACATTCATGTGTTTTATTTGGAAAATATACTTTTTCATTTTAAAATGTTATTTAATATTTATTAAGTATGTTGCTATTTTCAAATGAACTAAAAATAGTATTTTAAAATTTCTCAGTTTTAAGTTTTCTTTCTTTCCTTCTCCTCCTTTTTTTCCCCCTTTTTTGCAGTGCATGGACTTGAACCTAGGCCCTCACACAAGCTTGGCAAATGCTTTACAACTGAACTACAGCCCCAGTCTTCACAGTTTTAATTTCTAACTATTGATACATAAAATCCACATAAACAAAAGCTCTATGTGGCCTTCAATCATTTTTAAGCATGTAAAGGGGTTCTCAGGTCAAAAGGAAGTTTGGAAACAAAAATACGGAAAGAAGCAAGACTAAGTATTAATAGCAATAATAATAACTAACGGCAAATCTTGAGTACCAGGTACTCTTGAGAGCATGTGAAATATAAACTCACTTATTTTCCTAAAAGCCTTGTGAAGGGTCAACAATACTTAGAAGAGGGTGCTATTGTTAGTGTCATCTTAACAGATAAGGAAACTGAAGCTAGAAAACCTCAAGAGTTCATTCAGAAGCACTGCCCTCCACAGCTCCTAAGTAGACAAGGTCTTGAGGTCAGGAAGCTGGGAGCATAGCACAGTTCTAGTCACAACTGTGTCAGAATGAAAGTAGTTTCATAGTTTCATGTTTAAAATGGAAGGAAGGAAAGTCTAATAATTGTGAGAAAACTGTGGTAAATTTTCAAAAGAAAAATTAAAAGCTGAGCAGAGAGAGAATACAGCTATCATGTTAACATATATGGAATAATAGACCTCCAATATATAAAATATTAAGCACCTATTAAGTATTCAACTGAATAAGCTTATGAGGTAAGGATGTCTTTGAGTTACTTACTCTGAAAAATAATCCATAAACTGCTGAGGATTTTCGGAAGCAAGTAATAGCTGTCTCTGATGAGATTCAGACATACAATGACACTTGAAGCCATTCTACAAAAAATGCAAAAGCAGTAGTGAACTTCTGATTTAGGTCATCGAAATGGACTCTAAACAGACATACTGCATTGAGCTCTAAAAATCTGCTTTTTAGTGGTAATCATAAAAAAAAAAAAAAACTTATCACCAGCCTAAAGTTTTTAAATTAAATTTGGAGAATTAAAAATCCTAATAAGTGGACTGGGGTTGAGGTTCGGGGGGAAAGTGCTTGCCTCACATATGTGAGGCACTGGGTTCAATCCTCAGTGCCACATAAAAATAATAAACAAAATAAAGATATTGTGTCCATGGATAACTAGAACAAACATATTAAAAAATCCTAATAACCTACAGTACAATTTTTAGAAACTAATTTGTAAGATATTTTATTGGTGGATATGTGTCATTATGTACTTGTCAAAATCACATAGAATGGTGTGACTGTTGGAGGTTAAAAAAAAAAAAAAACGCATAAAATATGCAACATCAAGAATGAACCACAATGTAAACTGGTCTTTGTGTATTAATATGTTGAAGCAGGTTCATCTATCATAACAAGTGCACCACTCTGCTGCAGGATGTTGGGGTCAGCTGTGCATGTGGGAGGGAGAGGTACTGGGCAATCTCTATACTGTCCAGTTGCTTTTTCCTGTGAAGCTAAGACTGCTCTAAAAATCAAGGTTTATTAAAAAGAACAAAAAGTCCCAATAATCAAATCCTATTCATGACTTTTGGCCTTAGTTTGAAAAAATTGCTTTAAAAAACACTTACAGGACAACTGAAAAAATATGAAATGTGTTATTAGATGATATATGGGTATTTTATTAATTTTGTCACATTAGTGACATATTGACATATATCGTGGTTATACAGAAAATCATACTGAAATTTTGAGATACATATTTAAGTATTAGAGCTAAAATACCCTGATGTTTATAATTTAAAATATTTCCAAAAAAAGAAAACATGGCAAAACACTTTTGTTACATCTGTGTGTTACAGAACGTATACTTGTAGTCCCCCAGAATTTATATATCGAAACTCTAATCCCCAATAGGATGGCATTAGGAAGTGGGGCCTTAAATTTAGATCAGATAGTGAGGGTAAAGCCCCATGATGGTGTTAGTTCCCTTATAAGAGCCTAGAGCTGGCCCTGTCTGCCCAAAGATACAGAGGGAAGACTGCTGTTTACTAAACAGGAACACAGCTCTTACTAGAACTGCAACCATTCCAGCCTCCTGATCTTGAACTTCCCAGCCTCCAGAACTGTGAGAAACACATTTCTATTGTTTAAAGCACTCAGTCTATTGCATTCTATTATAATAGCCCAAGGAGACTAAGACACTGGGTATGGATATAAGGATATTGGTTGTACTAGTCCCTAGTTTTCTGTGTGAGAATTTCACCTTCACTTACATAGAAAGAAGGAAATGGAAATGAAATAACTCTATCAATGTCATTCTATGAGGCCTACTTAAAATATCTTATCCCTCACAGAAGCTCTGGATTAGATTATTCCTGTTGCCTCATTGTTCTTCCATTCCCTTCCAATCTGATCTCCAGAGAAAAATGCCACACCATTAGCTGCTCTCAATTCTTCAGTGGAGCCCCACCACCCACCTCAATATGGGGGAAAGTATAAGCTCTGTAGCACAATATACAAGACTTTTCAAGAAATCTGTGATTCTCTTTAGCCACTTTACCTACAATTCACTTATTTCAAACTCAACAACAATCTTACAAGTAGGAACAGATATTATTCCCACTTTACGGAGGAGTAAACAGGTATAGAGAATGATAAGTGGCTTGTCCAAGAGAACATGCTATTAAGTGGTGCTGACTTCATAATTTTGATATCTGGTCCTAGTTCATTTAGGTGTTCAATAAATGCTTGTTAGGTGAATTGTGCGAAAGAGCTTTGTTTTCCTTGTTTCCTTTGAATCACAAAGAAGTGTAAATCCTAATTGTCCTGTTTGAGAGCCAAGTCAGAGATGGTTATTATTACTGTTATCGCCCGGACGTCCTGCACTGCATTCATTATTCACGCCCCTTCAAGAACCGCAAAACCAGTGGATTTCATTTCTTTTGGGGGAGGGGGAGGGTGCAGAATGGGGAGGAATAAGGTGTCAAAGACCACTGCTGCCCCGCTAGGTCTGGAGACTGCAGGGAAGAGCAGCTCTCCTGGGCTTAGTTGACTGAGCCCAGTGCAGACCCCAAAAGCCTCGCAGCCGGGAACTCGAGCCCTGTGCTCTCATCGGCGTCTGAACTTGAACCTGGATATTCAGTGGGGCCCTCTGGGGAATATGGAGCCATCCCAGGCCCACTTACCTCGTCCCGGCACTGCTTCTGGCACATCTGGCAATACCAACGCAGCTTCTGAAGTCCTTTGGATTTGATCCGGTTGGCGATGGCTTTGGGAGTAAGAAAATCTGACTTCCCCATCGTGACCACCGCAGCGACCACTTTTAGGAGCACAGTATCCGTCCAACCGGAAGCGGAACTGGGCTGGAAGGAGTAGGCGGGGCAAAGCTGACAGTCGGAAATAGGTGGGGCCTGGGAGGACCGGCCCCCAACGCTCGCGAGACTCCTCTTTCTGGCGCGAGGAAGCGAGACCGAAGGACCAAACAGGGTGGGAAGTGCGCGTGGGGAAGCTTCCGCGCGTGCGCAGTAAGGTCTGTCTGCCCGACCTTCAAGCAAGGCCGGTACCACCACCATGTTCTCTCGGGCGAGTGTCTCTGGGCTGTCTGCCCGCGCTTTGCAGTCGCAATGGTATGGCAGATTGCGGGAGGACTGCGAATATTGGAGGAATGGAAGAGCTCGGTCAAATGGGATGGAGGTGGGGCGCGGGTGGGGAGCGTAGACCGACCTGGGGCCGCAGGGCCCAGTTAGGCCCTGGGTTCTGCAGAAGTCTCGCAGCTGGGGCAGCAGGAAGCTGCTCCGAAGCGGGGAGGGCGCACGCGAAGGCTGGAGGGGGTCAAAGGGAGCAAGGTCACGCCACGTCCCTTGAGGCTGGAAGGGTCATCTGGGACCTCGGGACTGAGACCTTAGTCCGAATTAATGACGGGGCGACCTGGAATTCATTCAGCTCATAAACATCCAGCTTCCGCTACTACAAACTAGGCGCAGAGTCTCGGGAAGCTGTTAGCAGGGTCCGCAAGGTGCAGGCAGGAACTAGGAAAGGCCTCGGGCAAGGGTGCGGTGTGCTTTATGTCCTTGACGCGTGTTCAAAGACTCCAGTGCTGGGCAGAGTGACCCTTTGAGAGCTATCGTCTCAGTGAGCACCCACAGTGTAGCGGGCGCTTTGCTAGGTACTGAAGAAACGAAGGTGAAAAAAAATTAGTGCTATCATGGCAGATGGGCGTCTTGGTGCATAAGAGACTTTAAAGATCTGACTATTGATGAAGTAGGGAAAGACATATAGCCACCTTCAGAGGATTATGCCGAAGCATTAACCTGCAAGGTCATGAAATTGTCCAAAGGTCCTGGGAGGAGGCGATTGTGTGTGTGTGTGTAATTACAAATGTCTTTATTCATTTTTAAAATTCTCATTTGTTATACATGACAGCAGAATGCATTTCGATTTCATAGTACACATATGGAGCACAATTTTACATTTCGCTGGTAGTACACAAAGTAGAGCCACACCATTCGTGTCTTCATATATGTACCTAGGGTAATGATGTTCATCTCATTCCACCATCTTTCCTACCTCCATTCCCCCTACCATCCCCTCTCCCCCCAGTGGCCCTATGCAAAGTTTCTCCATTTCTCTCATGCTCCCCCTGCCACACCTCCATTATGGATCAGCATCCACTTATCAGAGAAAACACTGGGCCTTTGGTTTTTTGGGATTGGCTTACTTAGCATGATATTCTCCAACTCCATCCATTTACCTGCAAATGCCATGATTTTATTCTCTTTTAATGCTGAGTAATATTCCACTGTGGATGTATACCAGTTTCTTTATCCATTCATCTACTGAAAGGCATCTAGATTGGTTCCACAATTTAGCTATTTTGAATTGTGGCTATAAATATTGATGAGGCTGCATTGCTGTAGTATGCTGTTTTTAAGTTCTTTGGGTATAAATGGAGGAGTGGGATAGCTGGGTCAAATGGTGGTTCCATTCCAAGTTTTCCAAGGAATCTCCATAAAAGGTGCTGTATGTTTGGACAATTTTAAAAATTCTCTGGGGTGAAAAATACATATCAGAAGGCCTAGTAATAGATGATAAAAATTGTTATGTGGTTGGCATTGTATAATGGTATGAAATACTTTGAAGCTAGGCAATTTTATACAAATTGCTGAGGGGATTATTAGCTACAGGCTGTGTCCTAGCAATTCCCTTGTTTTATAGTATGGAGAATTTCTAAGGAGCTATAGCACTTAACTAGATTTTTGTATCCTAATTTATGAGAAGAGTCTATTAATCATTGATTGAGATAGATTGGTCTTTTCATTAAGCTGAGAGTTTATAGCAATATACAAGAGTTTCAGGATAATGAGTAAGTTCAGTATAGTATGAATTATCTACATAAAATTTTTGGTGGCTTAGCCTCAGAAATCGGATTTTTCTTCCGTTCTGAAAAAGAACATTCAAGGGAATTAAGTCACAGTAATTAAATTCTCAGTTGTATAGATTTTCCCATTTATTAACTACTGAGCAAATGTTTGTGGAGTGCCTACCCTACATCAGTTGGCACCATGGAAAGTGCTAAAATGTAGTGGCAAACAAAACGAATATCACCCATTGAGGTTCCTGGCGTGACTGTTTTTGGTATGCTGAAGTGCTGGGCGAACATCAACTCTTTTTCTTCCTATCTTGCTGTTCATTAATATAATCTGTCAGTATTTTTAGAAACTTAAGCAGTGTTCACATTATTCTTTAAAAAGTGGAGAGGGGCTGGGGATGTAGCTCAATTGATAGAATGCTTGCTTTGCATGCACAAGGCCCTGGGTTCAATCTCCAGCACCATATATACAACACACAAAAAGTGGAGAGAGCTCAGTGCAGTGGACTACACCTAATCTAGTGACTCTGGAGGCTGAGGCAGGATTCTGTATCAAAAAAATATAAAGGGCTGTGAAGTTAAAACAGTATGGGTTTTTTTTTTTGTTGTTTGTTTTTTAATATTTTTGTTAGTTATTGATGGATCTTTATTTATTTGCTTATATGTGGTGCTGAGACTCGAACCCAATGCCTCACACATGCTAGGCAAGTGCTGTACTACTGAGCCACATCTCTAGCCCCTGTTTGTTTTTGTGGTTCTGGGGATTTAACTCAGGGCCTTGTACATGCAAGGCAAGCACTCTACCAACTGGGCTACATCCCCAGCCCAGAAACACTATGTTTAGACAAAATTCTAAAAATAACTTTTATTAAAACAACTACAAGATAATTTGAAGGTATTTTAATAAAGGTTTGTTTTAAATAAGGGCTCTCAGAGGCAACTACTGTGAGAAACCTAAATTAGAATCTCAATCAGCATATAAAGGTCATAGTCCTGACCTTTGGGAATGTTGATTTAACAGGTAGAATATGACTCTTCATCAAACATCAGCTTCAAGCTGGTTATGGTGGCACATGACTTTAGTTCCAGTGATTCAAGGAGGCTGAGGCAGGAGGATCATAAATACGAGACCAGCACCAGCAACTTAGCAAGGCTTTAAGTAATTTAATGAGACCCTGTCTCAAAAAATGAAATAAAAAGGGCTAGGGATCTAGCTCAGCGATAAAGCACCTCCGGGTTCATCATCCAATACCTTTGTCCCCAAAGGTGTAAGAAGATTATCATATCTGCCAAGAGGAGAAGATAGAACCATGGTGGGAGTTGAAGTGTGAGGTACTACTTGGTGTAGAGTGGTGATGGACTTTTACACTGGCATTCTATTTTAGAATTAGACACACTTCATATTTTCCCTGGAGAATTAGTTGATGCTGCTTCTTAATTTTTGTAACATAAAGCATTATTTGTTTTTAAACATGTCTCAAATTGCAGTTTCATTGAACAATGAACCAGTCATGATTCCCTCCTCTGCTGTGTTCAGGTTTTCTAACAATGTTATATGATTATAGTAGCTACTGGTGATCCTGACTGGTGTGATTCTCTATCCAGTGTATTTGATGTATTTCAAGTTTCACAAATTATCTCCTGAGGCTTTCTCAGGACATGATGCAGTGATTCAGAACTTGTTCTCTCAGTGCAAAATCTTCTCAGCACAAAATTCAGTAAATCAAGCCATCCCCCAAAATAGTTCATGGCTATTTTGATGGTAAAAAACAAAATAACAAAAACATAAAAGTCATCATTATTGCTAAATGAAGGCTAAATATGAGAGTGCTTCAAAACACATGAAATCATAGCATGTGCACAGTATAACGGATTATGGAAATGTTTCCTCTTCATACCTTTCACTTGGAATACTTAGGAAAACCAAAATAGTATATTCATCCAGATGTGACATGGAATTCAAATTTGTTCCATACAGTATTCTCTAATGAGAAACTTGTGTCAGTTAAATTGAAATGCCTGCCTAAAACCATAATATCCAAATGTCATTTGTGACAGCCCATAAATTTAAGAGTGTTTGGAGTGAAAAAGTCATTATACTGAAAAAAGAAAGCCAGCCAAAAATGGTATTACTTTTCAGATGCCATTATGAGCAACAGTTGTTAATAGAACAATTGTTATGTCCCTAGTCTGTACTCTGTCAGACTTTGCCAGTATTTTTCAGTTTTTAATCTTTTAGTATATCCATTCTCATACTAAATGTGTAAAACCTCCTATTTTACATGTAGTCTGCTTCCTCTTTTCTTTATGAATGAGTAATACTAGTATTATGCTGGATAAGTCAAGACTTTTAAGACAAATTGTTTGGTTTTGACCTTCCATATTTATTTTTATGCACATAAACACAATCACAAGAATGAGACCATAGAACACATATCATTTCATACCTGCATTTAAAAATTATTGATAAAACGTCATTTTTTTAGTAGAGTTTTAGATATGTAGGAAAGTTGAACATTTAGTATGGAGATTTCATGTACCCATCTACCACTCTGAAGAGTTTCCCATACTGCTAATATCTTATAGTGGTATAAGTACTACAATTAACAAACCATTATTGATACTATTATTAACTGAGTCTATAGTTTCAATAAGGTTCACTCTTTCTCTTATACAGACCTATGGGTTTTGACAAGTGCATAATGACATATATTTGCTATTACACTATCATGCAGAACCGTTTCACTGCCCTAAAAATTCCTCCTCCCCTGTCCTCAAAACCCTCGCAACCACTGATCTCTTTACTGTTGCTATGGTCATTTCTAGCACAATATATAGCTTTTTGCAGATTGTCTTCTTTCATATAGTAAATATGCACTTAAGGTCTCTCCCTGTCTCTATGGCTTGATAGCTCATTTATTCTTATTACTGAATAATACTTCACTGTGCAGATGTACCAGAGTTCGGTT